TGTTTTCTATACCTCACTGTGACCATGTTTTACTTCATTGTTACTATCATTATTATCATTTTGCAAAATGTGTATATTTACGATTACAGAGCTTTGAAAATAATTCGTCGGAAGATTTTTTATTTTACGGTTTTAATTATCATCATCAATTCAATGAACGTTCAGGTATTCTTTGTTTGTCTTTGAGTTCCTGCCAATTCACCTTTATGCTTAATGGTGAGGTTGATTGAGTATCATAATGGTTAGATACTTAAACATTAATAGACTAATTGATAATCACTAACCAGCAGTTATTGCTCACATCAGACATTACACACATTGCAGTTCTATGAAATGTGTGCAATAATACTTCAGTGACATATGCGATCAATTAATAGAAACTCCAACCTTCAAAAATTACATACCACTGGCACCGGTGATATACAAACAAAGCTGTGATACACAGTACAGTCACTCTATCATGGACAAACATCCTGGTGAGTTAATGAATCAAGGCAATATTTCGTATAAAATTGTACACTTTTTTCAGTTACCAATACATACATCGACTCTTTTTTTATGCTGTAGTGTTTGCGATATTATTTGATTTGAAAGTTTAACTAACCCATTCAGAAGTAGCTCATATGTGCTTGACTTATGATCATAATGACGATATACCTACCAATCGGTAATTTTTCAATCACACACACCAAAATTCTGAACATTATAGGGAGCTGGCGAAATAATCTATATTGTTAACTTAACTTAAGGAACATATTTGACCTCATTAAAGCACTACTACTGAGTCATGTGTGGTAGATGTAGACTACCTGGTTGGGGTCCGCGAGACGTAAGTCACCAATGGTTAGAGACCTTGAACGACATAGCTCAAAATCGTTTGCAATGGCGCAAGTGCATCCATTCTTTGAGCTCTCTCAAATCCTAATCTTCTGGATTCGTCAGCACCTCTACCTTTGTCTTTCTAACCTTATTTCACTTAATTATACTTCTTGAATAATATCTTCAAACCATAGTCTTCTTCATTACCATTAATACCTCTACTATCTTTATCACTATGGGATTTGATTTGACATTTGCTTCTTTGTGCTAATGTAGTATGGCAACATGAACTTATGTACATACGTACGTAGTTCTACGTTGCAACTGACTGACTACTTAATAGGCAGAAAGTAATGTGTGAAAGAATAATGACTGAACTAGACCTAATGTAGCGATATCTTTTGAGGCAACAACGTTCATGGTTTTACTTCGCTTGTCTGTGACGACGTACATCCATAATGTTAACACTTTCTGAATAGTTAAATTTCTGCTCCTAAGAATTATCTAAACCGACATACAATGTCAATATTAATTTCATAAAGAATAATAGTAAATAATATATATTAAAACAATTTACACACAAATATCCAATATGAATGTATTTTTTTTTTATTTAAAAAATAAAGATTTTCAACAAAAAACTTGTTTTGTTTTGTTATGCTGGCTATTTACAATATAATACATTAATATTGTTTTTTTTTCCTGTCCATTCAAAATTCTTGTATTGTAAGACAAAAATTGTTATACAGAGAGCTAAAGAGAGACAACACAAAAGTACATATACATATACATATACAAATATAGTTGAGAGACAAAAAATTCATTCAAAAAATTGAAGGCCACACACAGTAGTAAAATTGTCTACTTCTCTTCTCTATTGATGATCATTGTCTAATTTGAAATTTGTAGTTAATAATTGTTGTGTAAGTATTTCATACATCATACGTTTACGTATTCCTGGCATATCATCCTTGAATTTTTGATGAAGAGTAGAGAAAAGAATAAAATTTATATATACATATATACATATATCATATTATCTAAAGGATACAACGAAACATTAATGTAAGAAGTGGGTATGGTTCACATCTAAATAACCAGAGTAAGTGTTTGAGACGTTACCACTGAGTTCTTCAAGCTTCTTCTCATAAGACTGAGGCTATTTAAAACTCATTAAACACTGATCAAAGTTGCATGTATGTTTAGTTTTTAGTAGTTAAGACAAAATTCTATGAAGATTGCGAATACATCTTGTAGACACCAGTCAACTTAGCTAGAAATCTAGGTTGAATAGGGTCACACCAACCGACTACATCTAACCAATGGGCATTAGCATTATGTACATTTAGTTTACATTGAAAAAGATCTAGATTTGTAATAATTAAAAGTAGAGTATATTAATACTTCCCTAGAGTCCAATAGATATGAAAATATTTGATTTACTGAGCAAACATATATGACGGAACTCTATAAAAATTCAGTCAGACCGTCAGTTATAACGTAGAACTTCGTACGTACGTACATCAGTTCAAGGTGCCATACCGCATTAGCAAAGAGACGCAACAGTTGATTCAAATCCTATAGTGGTATATATAGTAGAAGTATTACCGGTACTGGAGAGTATTAGGGATCCAAGATATTATTTATGAAGTATAATTCAGTGAGATAAATTTAAAAGTAAAGAGGATGATGAGGAATTCTGAAAATTAGAATTTGAGAAAACACAAAGAGTGGCTGCACCTGAGCAATACAAACGATTTTGAGTCATGTCATTTAAGATACCTCATCATCGATTACTATCATCTCGCAAACACAAACCAGGTAGTCTACATTTCCCAACATGACTCGGTCCACATGTCGGTGACTTCATGTATTTCTGCTCCTACACTCCTACACCACAAAACATAGTTCGACGAGGCAGTCGGTGGTTAGGCATATGTAACACATGTCCCAACTACCACAACTGATGCAGTTTCAATACTTCATCAATTGACCTGCCATCCTTATCTAGTACTCGGTTCCTAACTATAGCATTGCTTACTCGGTTGTCCTACGAAACATGAGTAATGCTGAGAAGACGCTTATGACCGAAAAGCAGTAACCTACAAATATCTACTCTTACCGGCCATGTTTCGCATCCATATAGTAGGACAGAGAGAACTGTTGTGCAGTAGACTCGTCCTTTGTTTAGTATGGTTAATATTTATAGATTTAATAAGGAATTAACTAACCACAGTAGGTAATATAATAAGGAGCATAACTAATTCAGCTTTGGTTAACATATATAGGATTAGGCCTCACCTTGTAACCCTTCTATGGAGGGTTAGGCATGGGGTTAGAAACCCTATTTCGTAGAAAACAAAATTATTAAAAAAACGCCAACTATCAAAATCATAACTTAAAATATGATATCCAATAAACTTGAGCTATGAGGTGAAAACAGCGAGATGTAATATTTCACGCATGAACTAGGGATTTTAAAGATAGGGAAACATACATCATTAACAAAGAGCATCATAGTACAGATGTACTTTGACACAAGTTCACAAATCTGATTAGCAGCACTAGGTGCGAATAGCAATAATGATCCAAGATAATCTAGTTGAAAATATAGTTTGTGACGACAGATTGGGAAGGTATACATACCATGAAGAGGTGTTTAAAGGAACGCAAACAAAACAGACTAAATTAACAACATGTAAAGATATAGTTTTGTGAAAATTAAATTTTTTAAAAAAAAATTTGAAACATGAATTAAATTACCTGACTAAATATGAATGAAGCATCACGAGAGATGAATTCACCAAATGTACACAAGAATACACCACAATCGGATCCGTTGTATTGTTGAGGCACAGTGTCCTTGAATTAAAAATTTTAAAAGTATATATAAAATGTATGAAATAAAGATAAAAGTCTGAATCTAGTTGTAGGCAAAGAAAGAAGTCACTGACAATTGGATTGAGTCATGTTGGTAGGTGTTGACTACGTGGTTGGGATCCGCGAGATGATAGTAATCAATGGTTAGAGACCATGAATGACATGGCTCAAAATCGTTTGCAACGACGCCGGTGCATTCATTCTTTATGTTCTCTCAAAGCCTAACCTCCAATTTCCTCATTACCTTTATCTTTTTCTTTGAAAGTTCATTTCACTAGATTCTACTTCTTGAATAATATCTTCGAACCTCAATCTCTCCGATTACGGTTAATAATTTTACTACCTCTACTACTATGGGATTCGAACATTTTAAAAACAAGACGGATTAAAAAAAACATTAATGATGTCGATGGCGAAAAACCAGATATTTATTCTCTGAAGAAGTAGTTTACATTACGGGGTTCGAATCCTACGGTGTGCAGGAGTTGTGGATGCGCACTGCTGAGGAGTCCCGTACCAGGACGAAACGGCCGTCCAGTGCTTCCAGGTTTCTAATAGTGGTCTAACATTGATCGATTCATGGTTTCAAAAAAAAGAGAAGTAGTTCACATTGAATCATGAAAAGTTGGAAAATTTTTTTAGCTCTCCTACTTATTGAGATACTACAAATATATTAATTTAATTGTTAACAATCTACCCAATACTTAATTTGTTTGAAATTATCAAACTACACATTGGTAATGACACCTATATTAACAGATATTATATTGTTTCACTGTTGTTTCAGCTGTGTTACTTGTGTATGTAAGTTGAAAGTCTCATAGATAACAAACATCCATAACAGAAAGTATACATTCAATGATTGAAAACTAATGATACTAGCCGACTGACAAAACCAAATGGATAGTAGTACAATAATCCGTTTACCAAGTACAGATGTGTAACATTAGTTGTGGGTCACATCTTACGTGTACACACTAGTGGTACTAACTCCTCGATCAAGTTAAAGTAACTAGTGCATTTCCAATACACAATAAAACTGTTAGACATTAAATGAATTGATCGGTAGCCTATCAATTCTTTGAAAAAAAAAAATTTAAACAACGTAGATCAATAAGATTATCTAAATTTGCAATCATTGCAATTACAAGAAGATACATTGCACACTTTTCAATATGTAGAAATCATAACATTATTACACTGAATACAATTTCAATTTCAAAAATTGACAAACTGATTTTCTTCTATTCAGAAAGGCACGTCAGCTATCAGCTGGTTATAATGATCAACATACAAAAAAACACTTGACAAGACAAATAAGGAAAACAAATCATAGTAAATTAACAATAATTATTAATGAGTAAACAGGATTAAATTACTTCTGTATTAACTAATTTCCAAGAATCTGGATCTGGTAGAGCAATATTTCTTTTGTCTAATGATTCATTTTGCAAATAATCCCTGGTCGAAAACCAAAACACAAAAAAAGACAGAATTACAAACAATCATTGAGTGAAACTTAAAAGGAAATCATTCATTATTTAAGAAGAATACTTAAGATCTGTGTTATGGATATTAGAATTTCGGCAAACGAAATGCACACAGTTGTCTACGCAAAATACTTCGGATTCGTTGGCCAGACACTATCACCAACAACCTATTGTGGGAGAGAACAAATCAGATTCCAGTGGAGGAGGAAATCAGGAAGAAGTGGTGGAAGTGGATAGGACACACATTGCGGAAAGCACCTAACTGCATCACGAGACAAGCCCTTACATGGAGCCTTCAAGGCAAAAAGAAAAGAGGAAGGTCAAGGTACACATTACGCCGAGAAATAGAGAAAGATACGAGAGGAATGAACAAACATTGGACAGAACTGGAGAGGGGAAGCCCAGGACAGAGTTGGTTGGAGAAAACTGGTGGGCGGCCTATGCTCCATAGGGGGTAAGAGGCGTAATTAAGAATGAACACATGATTCAATGATCAATGTATGATTCAATTGCAACATTTCGACTAAACGATCAATAAACTAAATAGACTATATTGACTTCTATTTAGTCAATGTTTGTTGGGGATGTTAGATGCCCAGAACTCGCTTGATAAATATCTTTATTTTGGTTTTATTTCGTGGACCAATCAGTTGACTTTGAGATCACATTTCCCACCAGGAAAATCCTTGGCTGTGATTGGCTACTGTGTCATTTTAATGTGTTATTTTTGTGACTGTCCTAAGGACATCTCTATAGAGTATAAATAAACGAAATTTGAGTGCTTGGATTCATTGTGTGCTGGCTGGGTGTTGGTAGAATACGATTTCCACACTATATTAAGACTTCTTGCTAATACCTTTTGGTCAAGGGTTCACAGTAGCCTACCTGGACTCTGGTTCATTGTTTTGTTCTCATTATTCGACTAAGATGAACTCGTAACAGTTAAAGCATACCTAGAGACGAGCGTAACAATGTTCAATCAGATTTGATCAGCTGTCAATAGGAAATAGAACTACAAATCCTATGTATATATATATATATATATATAATATATATATATATACATATATATTGATCATATCAGTTGATAATTTTAGCTAAACAAACAAATCACGGTCTTTTTCTCCTCCCTTGAGTCGACCATTCACAATATATATGAAAAATGTTTAATACTAGGAGAGTAGAAAGGGATAAGATGTTAAGCAAGTGGAAAAATATGGTGGGCAACAGGTGAATTGGGGTAATATTGGAATGTAAAAAGAAGTTCAGTGGTGGAAATTAGAAAAAGGTGTGGGTTGAATGTAGCATTATTATGGATGGTATGGAGTATATTGAAGTAGGAGAAATTTAAAAATGGGATAAGAGGTAATAAAGAAGTAGGAAAGGTGAGTGAAAGAGACAAATAGTTGTATTAAAAAGAACTTTTTTACATGAAATTGTATTTTGATGTGTAGGTGAAAAAATAAAGTATGATCTAGTGAGTTCATACATATGTTAAAAGATGAAAAAAAGGAAATTACCCTGTAAAGATTATGGTAAATGATGACTTAAGGTTGGAAAGCATAAGATCATCATCCAGATTATTATAAAGAAAAGTGAAGATAAATAGATGAAGAATAGTAATGTATTTGAAAATAAAATTAGATAAATGTTGTGGATGAAATAAATTAGAAAAAAAGCGATGTACAAAAAGGGCAATGAGAGTGTTTGTCGATGTAGAGACGTTTGTGATAAAAAATTAATAAAGTATGATATTTTAGAAAAGAATAAAGAAGACTGTGATGATTTGGAATGTTGAGATGAATATATATATAATAGGGAAAGATGGGGTATGTGAGTACGTGCATTTTATCGGTTGAGCAAATGGGTAAGGAGCAGAGGACAAATAAACAATATAAAAATAAATGTAGAAAAACGAGAGAAGAGTTCAGAAAGATGTTTTAAAAGGTAAAAAAAGAATGTAGGAAAATTACGAACGTACCCAAATCTGATTAAGGGGAGTAAGTCTAAACAATAAGAAACAAAGTGAAGTGATTAGAAGAGCACAAGATGGAGATGTATGAAAACATAGGGAGAATCGTGAAGGAGTTAAAAGATCAGTATATAGATACTATAACCAGGGGTTCATTAGAGAAGTGTTAAGAAGTAATGTAAGTATGTGGTGGAGATGTATTGATAGATTTTAAATCGAAAAGGAAGAGTATTGATTATTTACATTTTGGGTTTAGGATTAGTAGATTCAGCAAAGAGAAGACAGATTAAATTATATTTTTATGTGCGATATGATTTGGATAGGTCGGGTAGTACACGATATGGAAGTCAGATTAAGGTAATGAAGAGCAATGAAGAAGAAGATTTTTAAAGTGGATTAATGTGAGAAAAGGTAGAAAGTGGTTGTGTTATGCGATGTGTTCGTGTGCTTTCGAGGTAGCAAAAAGGTGAATAATGTGATGTGGCAAATAAAAATTTGTTAAAATAAAATTAGATACATAAATTACAGAAAAACAATTATTTAGAGTTAGTACTCATCTCAGAGAAAGTTTAAAAGTTAAATTAAAAATTTTTAATAAAGTTATAAAAGAAAATAGTATGAGATTTTGAAATCAATATTAGGTAACGTTTATAAAAAAAATATATGCCGGTTTTGGGTAAAGATTATAATTTGATAAAGTGAATGAAGCTTTTTTGAATAAATCGAATTTATAGCCCCATAAAATTTGTAAGTTTTGATGTATAGAAAATAATGTACTTCTGTCTCGCCTCCTCATTCGTACACCCTCCCCCTTCTTCTCCTCCCGCTTCTCTCCCTACCTACGAACTCTTGAATAGTATTTTTTTGTTAAGTAAAATTTATAGTCAAAATTTTTTCTCATAAGTTTAAAAATTATTACTTACCTCTTCTTTTTATTATCTTATTGTTAATAACCTTTTTTTTTTTCGACCTTTTTTTTACTTCTTTTTTATTTTCTTATCGATTTTGAATTTTATCTTCTGTTTTGTCTTTTTTTTATTTTCTTTTTTTTTTTGCGTTTTTTTTTTTTCTTTTTTTCTTTTTATTTTTATTTTATTTATCTTTTTATTATTATTTTTTTCTTTTTTTTCTTTTCTTTGTTCTCTGTTTTGTTTTTTTTTTTTTTTTTTTTTTTTTTTCTTGTAATTATTTGCTTTTAGTTTGTTTTTTTTGTATATTTTTTTTAAATTTTCCTATTACTCTACTATATTTTCTTTTTTTTTTTTCTCTTTTCATTTTTTTTTGCTGTTTCTATTTTTAACTTTTTGTTTCTATTTTCCTTATTTTCTAAGATTA